ATATTTTTGCTTAAGGTTATCATACCATCAAAATCTCATACTGGCCCATGCCTAGTCATTACACATATAAACTTAATTTATAGATGTTTATTTCGATGATTTATTAGTTTTATTAGCTGTCCCTTTAATGACAGATTATAGCATTATACACTTTAGATTACTGAACAAAGCAATGTTTGCGGTGTTCCTGCATGGCTTTGACCAACAGATGTCGCTAGTGTGCTGTCACTCTTGCGTTGCGCATGCGTCGATTAAGTTTTTTTTTTTTGTATTAGGCTAAGTCATTATTTCGAGAAAGTTTCTCATTATTAAGAGAAACTAAGTCATTATTTCGAGAAAGTTTCTTATTATTACGAGATACTAAGTCATTATTATGAGAAACTAAGTCATTATTTCGAGAAAGTCTCATTATTACGAGATACTAAGCCATTATTACGAGAAAGTTTCTCATTATTATGAGAAACTAAGTAATTATTACGAGAAAGTTTCTAATTATGAGAAACTAAGGCCCAATCCCAATTCTACCCCTTAGCCCTTCCCCTTTCCCCTACCCCTCCGTTTCGCATGTTCACGTGAAGGCGTAGGGGTGTCTCGATTCTCTTTTGGTTGGAGGGGTAGGGGTAGGGGAAGGGCCAGACAGCCCTTCAAACAAAGATTTTTCGGGACCACACTTCAAACGAAGGGGTATGAATTATCTCAGTGTAAACCGGATTCAGGGGCAACATGGCTGCCCGAGCGCAAAAAAAGGCACATCAATGTAAGTGTCACGATTATGTTCAGTTTAGTTCAGTTTCTGTCATGTCTGTAATGAGCTCTCATTAGTTACCATGGTTTCTGATTAGTTAATCCTTGTCCAGCTGTTCCTGCTTATTTCCCTCATTTACCTTGTGTGTACTTATAGTCCTGATTCTGTTCTATCCTTCGTCGGTTATTAGCTTATGTTATGTGTTGTACCAAGTCAGAATTCTCAGTAAAGTCTGTTTGGAATTATGCATCTTCGTTTGCTGTCCTCATTCCTTGACGACCCGTGACAGAATAACCGACCGCATCAAAATAAACCAAGCATGGACTCACCAGCGTTACGTCTCCTCCTCAGACCAGAAAGCCGAAGGTGGCTGGAGTATTTGGGCTGGATGCTCCAGAACAGCGGCCTCTCCCTCACAGAGATACCAACAGGGCTCATCCAGGAACCAGAGCCGGAGTCCACCAAAGCCGAGGAGACTGAGCACTCTGATCAGTTCACTGTAAAGCCAGGAGCGGACATAAACCTCATCGATCTGTGGTCCGCAGATCCAGTTCCCACCCAAGTACCCACCCTCAAACCTTTGTCTTCGCCGGTCCCGTCCGGATTGTTAGAGGCACCGGTCCCGTCCGGAGATCTTCCTCCTCCGATGTCTCTATCAGATTTCCTGGTCCCATCTCTTCCGCTGGTTTCAGCCAGTACCCTGGATTCGTCGGCCCCACTGGAGTCGTCCAGCTCCTCGGCTCTGCCTTCTGCCGCTAGCTCCGTGTGGCTCATCAGCCTCGCCTCAGTCTTCCTCTCTACCAGCTCGGTATGGCGCCAAGTCCCCGGCTTCACTTCAACCCTCCAGGCCCATGTCTCCACCTCGGCCTGTCAGCCCGCCGACTCCGCTCCGGCTCTGTATTCCTTTGGCTCCACCGAGGCTCGTCTGCCCTAGGACTCCTCTGGGCTCCCTCGTACATCCGGACAAACCTTGGTCGGTCGTCGCTCAGCTTCCGCCACGGACTTCCGGGTCTCCGGCAGCGCCTCGACCCTCCACCCCTTCGGCTTCACCGGGCTCCTCTTTTCCTCTGGTTTCCCTGTCGTCCTCACCCAGCTCCATCTCAGTCACGCGAGCCAGCCGCTCCACCTTGGGCTTCCAGGCCTTCGATGTCGCCCTGGTCCGTCGGCCTATCTGCTCCGCCGGTTCCGCCACTTACCCTGGTTCTGCCTCCGTGGATCGGCTTCTGGGTGTCGCCCAGTCCTTCAGCCAAAGCTCCTCCCTGGTTCTTCCCACCGTCGGCTCCACCATGGCGTTTTTCTCCTCCGAATTCTCCAGGTTCCAGTCCTTCACCAGCACCATGCCCTCCACCTAAGCCTCCACCCTCTTTCCTCTTTTCTGTCATCTACTGTTGTGGCGTGAGGTCATGCCTTCCGAGAGGAGGAGCTAATGTCACGATTATGTTCAGTTTAGTTCAGTTTCTGTCATGTCTGTAATGAGCTCTCATTAGTTACCATGGTTTCTGATTAGTTAATCCTTGTCCAGCTGTTCCTGCTTATTTCCCTCATTTACCTTGTGTGTACTTATAGTCCTGATTCTGTTCTATCCTTCGTCGGTTATTAGCTTATGTTATGTGTTGTACCAAGTCAGAATTCTCAGTAAAGTCTGTTTGGAATTATGCATCTTCGTTTGCTGTCCTCATTCCTTGACGACCCGTGACAGTAAGCATTTTTGGCATTAATAAAGATTTGAACGAAAAGTAATAATTAGTTTTATGTTACATTCAATTGTGAGTTCATATTTATGGTCATGTTACTCAAATAAATGTTTGCAAAAAATCACTAAAGTTTGCTAACGTCATATCATTACAGACTGCACGATAGTGTCACAACATATTTTCATGTCTGATCAGGGCGGTAACCACCATAGACATTGAGGAGGGCTAGTACCCCCAATAATTATAAATCGCTAAACCTTTTCCTCAAATATTGCCAATTTGAGAGAGAGAGAGAGAGAGAGATGAAAGTTGTGTGTATGCGCGTCTGTTTCTCTTTTTAGAGTGAATTTACTTTAAAAAAACAGCGATTTTATCCTCACATTGCTGGAAAATATAATGTAGCGATTCAGTATTTAAACTTTTTATTAATAACAGTCGTGGGGCAGCGTTAACAAGTTTCTTAGCTCCTGGATGTGTGAGCTGCGCGATATCTAATGTGTGTGTGTGTGTCAGTAAGCAGCGCGTTAATATAGAACGGTAATTAAAGGCTCTAATACACACCAGCACACCAGTATAGGTATTGTAGGAGCTAGACGACGTATGATGAGGTGTGACGTATAGTAGTGGTGTCCCAATTCTTAGGGGAATATTTTCACCCCTACCCCTTGACACTCTGTTTCAATGGACAAGGGGAAGGGGTAGGCGGAGTGGTAGGGGAAGGGGGATAAAATAGAATTGGGATTGGGACTTAGTCATTATTACGAGAAAGTTTCTCCTTATTACGAGAAAGTTTCTAATTATGAGAAACTAAGTCATTATTACGAGAAACTAAGTCATTATTACGAGATACTAAGTCATTATTACGAGATACAAAGTCATAATTATGAGAAATTTTCTCATTATTACGAGAAAGTTTCTCAGTATAATGAGATACTAAGTCATAATTATGAGAAAAAGTTTCTCATTATATCATATTTTTTCTCAACTGTGGTGGAAATGGGCCATAGATTTCCCTAACAAGCAACCATATTTTTTTAAAAATAAGCCCAATAAACCACAACCCGTGACCCTGGATTTTTTTCATGCAACTTTGCAAAAAAAGAAGCCCAAAGTCGCGTATAATACGCGGACTTGGCAACTCTGCCTATTGTGCATCCTGTTGCCGAGCCCTGCCTTGTCAATTACTACATCAGGTCGGGGGCGTGTTCGGCTCGATTGCATTTTCAAATCCACATTGACTTAAACTATATTCATAGCGGGGTATTTAATGAAAATGCAATTGAAATGTCTTATGTTATATGTATATACATTTTGCTACCCTTTTGCTGCACCTTTGGCTCAGAATGCATTTTTGAAATTCTCATTGCATTTCACACGGTATTTTGATGAAAATGCATCTCAAGTGTCCTACCGCTAAGTCTAAATGCATTTAGGAAAAACAGCATTTAAATCATAATTTTGCTCGTTTTTGCTTGGACATTTTAAACATATCGAATCAATTTGGGTAATACATTTTCATTTTAATGTCGTAACTTATAAAGTATTAAAATACGTTTCTAATTTGCATATTAAAACGAGTGCAGAAAATGGCACATTTAAATTATATAATTGAATTTTCATTTTCATTTTGCACTAAATGTTGCACATATGTATGGGAAAATGTCAATTTAAATACAGAAATACATTGCGATTTTACATATTGCAGTGCCATTTTGCATAATACATTTCAAATGTAATTTTACTACCCATATGCTTCCATACTCCTTAAGGCCTTAAGGCATCTCGAGTAAAACAGCCCCACCTTTAACGGAGCACACTCATTTTAATTTCTGGTTTTTCAACAGATGACAAGTTGGGGGACCCTGGATGAAGTGGGTGAAGCATGGTGGGAGTTGGCATATAAGCTGTTTCTTGAAAACGATCCAATAAGAACGACTCTGAGTAATGTTGCTTATTATATGAGTGGTGATACATGGAATGATTATGGATTCAGCCGTGAGACACATGTTCCTCCAACTGGGGAATTCCATGGTGTTTCTAGAAAGGCAATCTTGGTGGTGATTTCAAGAAAAAGGAACATGGAATGGGGTGATTGGAAGAAGTTGCATGGGACAAGATCTAATACTGAACCTGAGGATCTAAACACCATTGACAAGGGACTTATAAACTGGATTACTGACCTGATATATAACGAGGACGGCAGCCCAAAACCATTTAATAGATAGGCTGAAGAATATTAATGATAATGTTACTGAAAAAGCATTTGTTCATAACTTTGAAAGAACCATTACAGAATGGGATGGGTGTTTTTATTATGACTTTTCCTTTTATTATTCTTATTACTATATCCATCAGTTAATCAGATTGAGTATATGTTCTGCAACATAGAACTGAGTCCATAGTAATGATCAATTCTATTCATCATTAACTCAAGGACTTGTTTTGTTTTGATCTTCAATTACATAAGGCAATTGATGTACTTCCAGTATTGTACATGTGACCGCAATAAACATCCATTCAAAAAGACAAATGTCGTTTTATTGAGAAGATGAATACCGTTAAGAAGAATATGATCAAAACATTTCTCCAGCATAACCAGTCTTTATGTGTGGTTTCACATTAGGAACCAGTGTTAAACACATAACACGTTCATGTGCGCTCGTGTACATTTCTGCGCTGATTACAGGTGCAACCGTGATCCTAGCTTTTCAGGAGCTAAATGGTCATGTGGTGCCTTGTATGATCTCACGAATCTTGTCTGTATCAGCTCGCAGGGCTGCATTGTGTGGGTCGATTTCTAGAGCCGCCTGATAGTCCTGAAGACCTAAAATAAAATCATCAGACTGATGTTGTGAAATACTTCCTGTATTTCAGGAAGTTACAAAGAGAACCAGAGTTGTGTGGTAATCAGAATTCAAATGGCAGTGTCTTTAAAATTCCTATTTAAATCCTGAATTTGAATTACATGTGTAGCAACAAGAATGCAGAATTTATTAAAATGTAACTTTTAGATTATGAACAATAGCCAAATAGCCCACAATGCTCTAATTTACAGATGCTGATGTCATGAATTATTTTTATATCTTAAAAACTGATGAACATTTTTGTTCTGCTGCATGGGACAAATAAAATGTGTTAACTGTTTTTGACAAGACTGAACTTTGAACAGCAAAAATATACATTCTGCATATCACAACAGAGGCCAATTTGATTGAAATTCCAACTCAAGAATATCAGCTATTTTTATAATAGGGATAACAGTGATTTCTCCCACACTATTTACATACAGATAACTGTGTATTTATATGACTGCAGAGGTTGATGTGTTTTGCATGAAAGCAGAATAACTGATGATCCTGTACCTTCCACATAAAGCTCAAGCTCACAGAATGCTGTTCCGCGCCTCACGTGAGCCTTCAGTCGAGCCGGAGCGTTTGCAGCGACCGCAGGCTTCAGTAACTCAAGGGCCTGTGAGAGTTCATGTGTGTTAATGTGAAGGGAATCAGTGCGCTGTATACAAAAAGAGAAATTTAAAAAAGAACATAAACGCTAAAACTGACCTGAGAGCTATCCTCAATGGCTTTGTGAAGATTTCTCAGTTTGAGATGACAGGCCGCTCGGTTAGAAAATAAAGCCGGGATCTTCCTGTTGAGTTTTATGGCCAGATTATAAGCGTTGACGGCAGCCTGGTAGTTTCCTGCCATGAACAATTTACTGCAGGAAAAGGGGAAAAAAGGTGATTATGATATTTAATGCTGTGTTTTTTTAAATAAATAACACTTGCTTTGATATTTTGTTTATTACATTCAGACATTTGTACTGCACCTGTACATTTGTAATGTACACTACCATTCAAAAATTTGGGGTTAGCAAGAAATTAATACTTTGATTTAAAAAGGATGCATTAAATTGGACAAAAGTAACATTTACAACAATGTTACAAAATATTTCTATTTCAAACAAATGCTGTTCTTCTGAACTTTGTATTCATCAAAGAATCCAAAAAAAAAAAAAAGTATCTTGTTTCCACAAAAATATTAAACTGATTGAACTTTCTTGAGCAGCAAATCAGCATATTACAATGATTTCTGAAGACTGGAGTAATGATGCTGAAAATTCAGCTTTGATCACAGAAATAAATTACATTTTACCATATATTCATATAGAAAACAGCTATTTTAAATAGCAATAATATTTCACGTTTTTTACTGTATTTTTGATCAAATAAATGCAGTCTTGGTGAGCAGAACAGACTTCTTTTAAAACACTTAAGATCTTACCATCCCCAACCTTCTGAATGGTAATGTTCATATAAAACACTATAAAATATCAGCAAATAAATTGACGGAAGACATGTTGTCCTTCCTTTCTCCAAAAACATGACTGTTTGGACTCATAGTTCTCATTAAAGGGACAGTTCACCCAAAAATGAAAATTCTGTCATTAATTACTTACCCTCAGAACTGCTGAATAAATGACGTTATTATTGTTTTCTTTGTGCACAAAAAGAAAACTCATAGCTTTGTAAAATTACGGTTTAACCCCTGATGTCACATGGACTGATTTACCGATGTCCCTGCTACGTTTCTGTGCGTTAGATTGTATCCTTGCTGTCTGTGGAGGATCAGAGAGCTCTCAGATTCCATCAAAAATATCTTCATTTGTGTTCCGAAGATGAACGAAGGTCTTACGGGTTTGGAGTATTTAATGACAGAATTTTCACTTTTGGGTGAACTGTCCCTTTAAGTGTGATCTGTGGCACTCACTCGCCCTTCTCTTTCAGCCAGTCTGGGTTTCTCTCTTCCTCTCTCAGGTCGTCCAGTTCGGCCAGATCTGTGTCCACTGCTCTCCTGGCCTCCGCCTGCTTCTTCAACCACTGCTCACACACACATGGACATAATTAGGCTCTCAATATTGCAAACCATTTTAGTGCTAATCTATCATTTACTGTATAAAGCAGATCTGACCTCTTCCTCCTCCGGGACACGAGACTCTCTCAGCGCGGTGGGAAACACTCGTGGTGTGAAGCTGATCTGAATGCAGCCAGCTGATCTGGGAGCAGGCAGATCTTTTGGTATCTGTTTTGTGCTTCTCTGACCTAGCAAGAAAATACAGGAGCTTAATCAAAATCTTGTGACTTACATTTTTTTATTCAAAAATTTGTGACCCTGCAGCACAAAAGCAGTCATAAGTCGCTGGGGTATATTTGTAGCAATAGCCAACAATACATTGTATGGGTCAAAATTATCCATTTTTCTTTTACATTTACATTGTCATTTAACAGACGCTTTTATCCAAAGCGACTTAAAAATGAGGACAGTGGAAGCAATCAGAATCAACAAAAGAGCAATGATATACAAGTGCTATAACAAGTCTCAGTCAGCCTAATGCAGTACACTTACCAAGTTTTTTTTTGTTGTTGTTAAATTATATAATAAAAAGAAAACAAATAGAATAGAAAAAGAATAGAGCAAGCTAGTGTTAAAGGCCTTTTTTTGCTTTTGTTAATTGTATAATAAATAAAAAGAAAACAAATAGATAGAATACAAAAAGAGTAGAGAAGCTAATGTTAAGGTTTTTTTTAAGAGAATAAGTAGTTTGCAAATTAATAGAGTGCAAGTCTAAAAGTGGCGAGTCTTTTTTTTTTTTTAAAAAATAGAATTAGAATAGAGAAGTGCTAGACTTACAGGGTTAAAATCATTAGGATATTAAGTAAAAATCATGTTCCATGAAGAAAGAGCAATGATATACAAGTGCTATAACAAGTCTCAGTCAGCCTAATGCAGTACACTTACCAAGTTTTTTTTTGTTGTTGTTAAATTATATAATAAATAAAAAGAAAACAAATAGAATAGAAAAAGAATAGAGCAAGCTAGTGTTAAAGGCCTTTTTTTGCTTTTGTTAATTGTATAATAAATAAAAAGAAAACAAATAGATAGAATACAAAAAGAGTAGAGAAGCTAATGTTAAGTTTTTTTTTAAGAGAATAAGTAGTTTGCAAATGAATAGAGTGCAAGTCTAAAAGTGGCGAGTCTTTTTTTTTTTTTAAAGAATAGAATTAGAATAGAGAGTGCTAGACTTACAGGGTTAAAATCATTAGGATATTAAGTAAAAATCATGTTCCATGAAGATATTTTGTAAGTGTCCTATCATAAATATATCAAAACTTAATTTTTGATTAGTAATATGCATTGCTAAGAACTTCATTTGAACAACTTTAAAGATGATTTTCTCAATATTTAGATTTTTTTGCACCCTCAGATTCCAGATTTTCAAATAGTTGTATCTCAGCCAAATATTGTCCGATCCTAACAAACCATACATCAATGGAAAGCGTATTTAAAATGACCCTAATATGACTAGTTTTGTGGTCCAGGGTCACATATAATATATTTTGACTGCTTCTTTACAGTGTTTCAAAAACGAGGAACTCAATCAAAGAAGCGAGCATCATGTCAGGTCCTGAGAAGAACAGTGTAACATCAGATCTGTAATGGAGCACAAAGTTAAAGTGTGTTTACCAGATGTAGTGTCCCCAGTATTACGCATCAGCGTGACAGCAGGTGGATCTGTTTTCTGATAAACCGGTTGGTTGTCGTGCGTGCCGGTTCCTCGTGTTTTTTGCCGGTTTTCATTTTCTTCTGCTGTCTTTCTCTGCGTTTCTCTCCAGAAATCAAGCTCTGCCGTAGCTCTCGCACACTCGTCATCCTTCATCTTCTGAATCCTGCCCCGCTCCTCGTTCTCAAGCTAAACACAGACAGAGAACTCAACAGCAAGCTAATGTTTGAGACAACATTCAAATAGTTAAGCGTCATTACCATTATATTATCTGTATTTATAAGTGCTGCTTAATATTACCACTGGGAATTGCATTTATCTTCAAAGAAAAAACCCTTCATAAATACATATTCTCATATATATATATGTGTGTGTGTGTGTATATGTATACTTTTTTTGCTTAATATTACCACTAGGATTGCATTCATTATCGTCTCAAAAAAAAGTATTTTTAAATCAATAATTCTAAGCAAGCTAATATTTGAGACAGCATTCAAATACATGAGAAATCATTCTGCATATATAGCAAAAATTGTCATGTACATTGATTCAAAAACTATAAAATAAAAATTTGACCCTCTAACTCTAGCACTCTCTATTCTAATTCTATCCTTTAAAAAAAAAAACTTTCCCTTTTTTGACTTGCACTCTATTCATTTACTAACTGCTTGTTTTCTTTTAAAAAAGCACTTCTCTAATCTTTTTGTATTCTATCAATTTGTTTTCTTTTTATTTATTATACAATTAACAAAAGAAAAAAAGGCCTCTAACACTAGCTTGCTCTATTCTATCTGTTGTCTTTTTATTTATTATATAATTTAAAGAAAACCTTGCTGTGTGTACTGCGTTAAGCTGACTGAGACTCGTTATAGCACTTGCGTATCATTGCTCTTTGTTGATTTTGATTGCTTTTATTGTCCTCTTTTGTAAGTCTGCATCTGCTAAATGACTAAATGTAAAATGACATTTTTGTTATACTTATTTTAATCTATACTGATTCTAAATGGATAAATAACACTGTTGTCAACTAGATTATTCTCTTTAATCATCATTATGAGGAAAAATGCATGAAAACAAGCTTTATTTTCTTTATGTAAAACAGAAGTTCACGGTAAGACACCAGCACTTTCAAGGCAATGTCCTTTATGAGACCGAAAAACACTTTTAGACCTTCATCATGGTTTCCAGCGCATATTTCTTCTCCTGTTGAATCCTGGCAGCTTTGGCTTTAGATTTGTCTGCTTCTTTCTCCTGAACTTTGAGAATGGCTTGTTCTCGAATCTGCTTCTGTTTGTCTTTATCTTTGGAATAAACATATACATCTTTAAAGATAACTATATGCAAGAGATAGAGGAAAGGTTTCTGATCCAAGCTACCTGATGATGGCAGTAATGCACTGTTAAGTGCGGTTGCCAGTAAAAGAAAGAAGTAGAAGAAGATAACTATATGCCTCAAGTACAGCACCGTGAGTATATTTCTATGTTGTGACCAGTGTTGGGGAAAGTTACTTTTAAAAGTAATGCATTAAAATATTGCGTTACTCCCTAAAAAAGTAACTAATTACGTTACTTAGTTACTTTTTATGGAACGTAATGCGTTACGTTACTTTTGCGTTACTTTTGAAATCTGGACAGGGCTTGCTTGTTTGTTTTTAAAATAAAAAAGTTATATTTTTGGCAAATATAAAAGCCTCTTCACACCAAAAGTGAAATGAATAAACCTCAGGCTGAAGGGAAAGTACAGTAGAATGCAGAAGAAGACATTTCAACACACTTCAGCAATAAACAAAGACACAAATGTGTGTCTAGAGTAATTTGTGCTTATTAGTACGCTTGAACTGGATCATCGAAGCTCAGAAGCAAATAGAATGGGATTAAATACATAAAGCATATTTGTGTTGTTTAACATTTAATTATTGCAGGTTTGCGTCATATTCTGAGTTGCATTATTTCTATTCATTTTGAGGAATGCTGAATCTGTGTTGTTGATTTTTGTGTGTGTGAGTGAGATTAATTAATATTCATATTTATTTTGGAACTACAGTGACATCTGATTTCTGTCACCATGGCAACACCAGAGCTGTCAATCAATAA